GGGGGAGAGGGGCCTGTGTCTGCGCAGCGCGGCCTGAGGGGGACTGCAGACCTGAGGGCAGAGGGGTCGGCAGCCCCCACGGGAACCCCCACGCTGAACCCTCCCGGGACACTTCGTGGCCATAACTGGGGACGTGTCTCGGAGGGGAAAGCCCCAGCGGCCATGAGCGCCTTGTCAGGCAGAAATGGAGCCGGGCAGGAGCCACCAGGCAGCCCTGGGCAGGAGACCGGGCAGGAGCTGGCATGCTGCAGCCCACGTTGTGCCAGAACGGGGAGGGAACAGGGATTTGTCTCAGGCAATGAAACTGGGAGTTGAGGTCCAAAGAGCTGCTGCCGCCAGCTCTCTGTGTTGCTGGATGCCGTGGGACCCCCATGCTCGGGGCACCTGCGGCCCCTCTGGGGTTCTCTTCCCAGTCTGAGCCTCTCACTGCTTTCCGCCCTCCCAGGGCCAGATCAGCTGCCCGCCGGGGGGAGTTGCAAGCCACCTGCTGTCGATGCTGTTGCTTGAGGTCTAAGATGGAGCTAATTTTATACTTTCACCCCCTAGGTAAACCACAGCAGTGGCTAATCTGGTAAGTGATGTTACGTTTAAAAAGCACAGGCCCTGTCCCCGCTATGGGTTCTCAAGGAGCAGTACAGAGGTTGGATGATGCCCCTCGTTAATGCCGACAGAGCCACAATTAGGATTTGACCTGTCCTTCCTGCAAACGCGGAACCCCAGGCCAGTGCACCGGGACAGGGGAGTCTGGGCAGAGCTGCGGGTTTGGGGCTGCAAAGGATTCACGTAGAGAGCAGCAAGGTTTGTATCTGACTCTCCTCGCACACACGGCGTTACCCCACGGATGGCTCCAGGAGGTTTCCCACAGGAGACCCCTCCACAGGCGTGCAGACCCCGCGCACACCCACGCTGGTGCGGGGGCAGGATGGTGGCAGCGGCAGAGAGCTGATCTTTCCCAGCGCCTCCCTGAGCTCTCCTTGTGATCCTGCTGCAGGAGTTTATTCTTAGTCGGAGGCTCCAGGGCGCACGCCGATGATGCGCATCAACTGCTGACTTAGTCAAGCTCCAGCTCTCGGTCGGCTGCTCCGGGAGGATGAGACAGATCCGGGCGCATCCAGACTTGGCGCCTGATCAAAGGCAGGTGCTGACACTGGTTCCGGCTGTTCCCTCCACGCCTGTCCTTGCCTGCGGCAATTAATGTATAGCTTTTTGCCGCATGGGAACTTGACTCTGGGAAGCAAAAGCAACGCTCTGGTGAGCTGCTGTAAGGAGGGATGGTGCAGCCCCAGAGCTCGGGAAACGCAATGGCACTCTCACCAGCAGGGATGTGGCCCCTGGGGGCTGCGCATGGGATCAGACCCCTTGTGACAAGGGTGGAGGCGGCCCTTTTCCTCCCTGCTTAGGTGTGGCGTGGCACGTACCTGTCCTGACACCTGATCAGGGATGAGATTGAGGTAATGAAGCTGATGAGGGAGGATGCCATCTCCCATCAGTGCATTTCCACCCAGCCTGTTTCCTTCCCAGTAGAGACGGGCGTTTGGCTCCCTCCCCATTCTTGCTCTCCTGGTTGCACGGACCAACAAGCAGCTTTGCCAGGGTCACCCTGGGAGGCTGCAGTGATTCATACCCTGGTCCCCACGTGCCTCGACGGAAGACAGAGCCCCAGCCTCCAGTGCAATCTGTTGGGAATGTCTTGCTCCACCAGAAAACCTGTCCGGAGTTGAGGGATCCCGTGTCCAAGTGGACCGGCCAGGATGGTGCAGGATGGCAGGGACCCCAGATCCATGTGGGGCTGTAGGACCCACGCTGCTGCTCAGGACCATCCCGCTGTGTTCCAGCGCAGTGGGAAGGAGGAGGAGAGGTGACGAATTTGACCTGCAGCCCCTGCAGGGCCAGGACCACCACGGCCATCACCGCGAGGGCTGCAGCCACCCGTGCCCTCCCTGTGCGTCGGCGAGGCTGCGTGGGACCGGGGCACGGGGCCACCCAGTCACCCTCATGGGCACACAGAGCTGCTTTGTCCCAGGGCAGCCATGCCGCTCCACTGGCACCCGCGGAAATGGCCTCTCTCGCAGTCAGGCACAATGAAAAAGGACACAGTGAAAAAGGAACACTGTAAAAACTGGGGAGGGGAGGGAGAAGAGCTGTGTGAGCAAACGCTGAAAGCCACACGAGTAGGAAATAGATTGTAATCGCCCTAACGAACTGCAGTTAATCAGTGTGAGCAACCGTGAACCGGGGTTTGATGCAGGGCTCGCTACCAGTGCCCATTTCCAGAGGGGACCCTGATGTGACTGGGGGCTGTGTGCAGTGTACAATAAAGACCCCAAAGTCACAAGTAAATGGGACTGTATTTAAAGAGAAGTGCTTGGAAAAACTAACCCCAGTGTTGGCGTGGGTTGGGTTTGGGTTGTTTTGTTTGTTTGTTTGGGTTTTTTTTTGTGCAGGGAGGTTTGCCAGCAGACCTGGCTTTTGTTCTCAGTTTTTCAGGGAGCAAATTAGCTGGAGGAGACAGGCCAGGCCAGTGTTACTGAAGAGAGCTGCCACATCCACCGGCTCCCCGTTCGGATGGCCCCTGGGAGTCTTTGCTATTGCCTTCTGCAGACCTTCGACCAGATCCTTTGATCAGACTCCTGGAACAGGGATTCCCGCAGTCCAAGGGCAAAGACCTCAGCGAAGCCCACAGTACCGTTACCTTCCTATACAAGCACATAATTAATCACACAGAGGTATTGGCCCTCCCAGATGTTACCCCTGTGCCAGCCCTGCCACCCAGAGGGGAGTTCATCATCTATGGCCAATTCACCAGCATCCATGTCGCTCTTGGCCCTCCACAGACCAACCCAAAATCCACTGGGGGAGCCTCTTTCCACGGCTGGTGTCTGATTTTGTTTAATGGGCTCTTTTCTACAGTAGGAATCAAAACCCCGCACTGGTGAGGAGGGAGGTCTGGTGCCTACAGGGCCACAGATGCGCAGGGAAGGTCTGCAGGCCAGTGGCTCCAAAAGCTTCATTGCTTGTTGGTTTCTGCTAACATCTACGTGACTCCAGTGATGAACAACCACCTTCAGGGTGGTGCATGTGTTAGTTAAGGACACCCCGGCCTTTCTGCGGGGGTGGTGAGAAGGCACTGCTCTGTCTGCCACGGCTTCCCTGACAGCCACCATCGCAGGGCCATGTACCCAGGGGCACAGCGGGCGGTGTAGAAGGGTTACTGGTAGAAACCAAGGGGGAACTGCAGCCCTGGGCCATGCAGTCCAAACCCACTGGTGGCTCTTCTTTTAGGCAGGGTGGAAAATAGAGTCTGGGGAGTTCAGTCCAGGTCCCACACCTGGGCAGCCCAGAGGAGATGGCTCCACTGCCTTGTCCCCAGTGTTGGGCTGCCTGAGCCTCCTGGCACGTCGTGGCTGCAGCCCTTCCCCGAGGAAATGGGAACATCTCTGCCTTATATGTAGTCAACTATAGGCTCTGTGCTGGTCTCCACTTGTCTCCATCCAGAGATGGCCGTATTGACTCATGTCCACTCAAAGGGATGTGCTGGGCCCCGCAGTTCCCCGCTGGGCTCTACCATCCTGCAGAGCTAGTTGGTGGGTTCTGTGGCCGTGGTGTCCGCATCCGGAGATGGCGGCATGCCGCTGTTCCCACCGTTGCTCACGTTTTCCTTGCTGTTGACTCTTGTGGGGCTGCTGCCTTTATCCTCCGCTTTCTGCTTGAGTTTGAGGGAGGAATCTCTCTGAAAGAGGAGGGGTTGGTAGCCAGCGAAGCCTCCTCCGCTCGTGTTCGTACGCTTGTCTAGGGACAGACAGAAAAAGAAGATTGTTTACCTGGGGTCCAAATTGACCTTTCAGCTAAGGAAAAGGGTTGTGGGATCTCTCCATGCCAGAGGTGCTGGGGTATCTTCTCTGAAAGATGGGCGTCCCTCCAGCCCCCAGATGCCCCCGAAGAGGGAGAGATGGGTGGGAGATGACTCGTGCCCCAGCATGGCCATGCTCAGGAGGGGCAGGGGAGGGTGTGATGGCCGGTTTCCTACCTCCCGGCCCGATGGGGTGCATCAGCCGGTTCATTTGGACGTTCCAGTGCTTGACGTTGGTGCTGGCCTGTCGCAGCTTCCGCTGGGCCGCCTGGGAGGGGATGGAGGAGAGGGGTCAGCCGGCCGCCCGACGGCTCCCAACCCGGGACCATGGGCAGGAATTTCCCTTCCCTGAGTAAGTCTGGATTGGAGGCTCCCTCTGGGACGCAGACCCAGCTCACCCTCCTCTAGGTCTTCTGCTCCTCCTCCAATCCTCCCCCCTCCACACATTCCCAATGTTGACATTGCTCTGGACACCAGCACCAACACCCTTGTCCCATCTTGGCCACTGGATCACCCCGTGCCTGCCCATGGCACAGCTCAGAAAACCCTCGAGGCAATGCCAGCTTTCTCCCCAAAGCTGCTGGGTCCTCCCTGGTGTGGTGGTGACTCAGGGAGGGCTGGGAAGTCCCCTGGGACTCGCACCGTGAAGGGATGTGGCATTTATGTGATGCTCACCATGACGTCTTGGTCCACCCGCTGCCTGTTCACTCTCACTTCTTCCAGCTGCTTCTGTGCCTCTTCCAGACACTTGTTCTTGCTCTCCATCTCCTGCTTGAGGACTTGCTTCTCCAGCTGAGTTTTGATGATGTATTCCTCTTGCTCCTCCTTCAGCTTCATCAGCTGCTTCAGCTTCTCCTCTTCCTCAGCCAGTAGCCTGTCAACGAAGAGCAAGAGGTGAGGATGTCCCTCTGCCACTTCATCCACCAGCTTTCCCCATCCCTGCTGCCATACTGGGAAGTCACCAGCACACTCCGGTACTCCCGGGAGCATTGCATAGCCATGAGGAGCATGTCCCCATGCCCAGCCCCTGCCCTGGGGGTGAGGCTGGTCGAGGAGGAGCAGAGATGCCCTGGTCCTACCTGGCCTGTGCGTATCTCACAGACTCCTCATCCTGCCGCGCTTTCACCTCCTGCTGTAGGGCTTCCTGGAGACGCTCCTGCATGTCCTCCAGCTCCAGGATGCGCTTGCGCTGACGCTCTGCCTCTGCCTCCTTCAGGACCATCTCTGCCTGCATGGAGGCGCGAGCCTGTGGCAGGGAGAGAAGCCATCACTGTGGGCGGCTGGCAGAGCCACTGCCACCATCCCCAGGACCCTCTTACTCCCACATGCCTGGGTGGATGGATTCCACGCCAGGGAGAGCCCATGGAGCAAGCTCCAAAGCAAGGCCATTTCTGTGCTCAGGAGACACACTGTGTCATTTGGAGCCAGCGCTGGCTGCAAGGTCAGAAATGGACTCCCTGGCCATCCCGGCACTAGCACTCGCCTCTCACCTGGCCCCCAGCTTCATACACCCCAGGGCAGGTTGTCCTCATCTCCTGCTCCTCAGGTATCTCACACCCAGCAGAGCTGACCCCTCCATCCCTCGTTCCCTGGCCACATACTGTCCCCAGCAGCCCAGAGGTGATGGGTGGCAGCAGCATTGTTGCAAGACTGGAAGGTGCTCCTAAAAGCTCCTCCAAACCCCCATGGCTATCACAGGCAAGGGAAGGGGAAGGAAGCACCCACCCCATGAGCGACGCAGCCCCGGGGCAGGAGACACGCCACCCACCTGCTCAGCCTCCTGCAGCTGGATCTCCAGCGTCCTCTGCATCTCCTCGTGCTGCTGCCTCCGCCGCTGCTCCTCCTCCTGCAGGAGTATCTCTGCCTTCAGCTGGGCCTCCTTGAGCAGCTCCAGCTCCTGCAGCTTCCTCTCCTTCTCCTCCTGGAGCTGCTTGAGCCGCTGCGTCTCCTCCTCCTTGGCCGCCTTACGCTGCTCCCGTTGCTCCCGCTGCTCCCGTCGCTTCTGCTTCAGGTCTTTGTGCAGGGACTTCTTGCCCTCAGCCTGCAGCCGGATGGCGGTCTGGATGGCTGGGGAGGGAAGGGGACGGTCAGTGGGGACATGGAGGGGGGCACGGAGAAGCTGGAGAGGGGGCACAGGGTGGGCACGGACCTAGCGTCCACTCCTGGCGCTGCCGGGTGTCGGAGGCGCTCATCTCGTAGGTGCGGGAGGAGGTCTTCACGCAGAACATGCACCTCTTCCCATCCCGGTCGGGCAGCATCTGCAGGGAGGGGACACAGGGTGGTGTTACCCCCCTATACCCTACGTTATCCCCACTTTTCTTCTTTCAGGCTCTCCCATGCTCATGGGTGTGAAATTGTGTATTCTTGTGTTTCCCTTCCTGGGGTCTGAAGGGGACCTCCTGGGTCTCCTGTCCCCGAGCTGAGCACGTACCTCCACGCAGCAGTGCTTGTCCAACGCGATGCTCCCCTTCTTCTCCTTCCGTTCCTCGCTCATGTAGTAGGACAGGACATTGGGCTTCAGCGTGAACCATCGCTCCGACCAGTTCCTCCTCAGCTGGCCCTTCTTCCAGAGGTAGCCCTGAGGCCGAGAGACATGGGGATCAATAATGGGGTGGGGGCAGGACAGAGTTTGTGCCCTGGGACACGTGGCCTCCTTGCCTGTTTGAGCACATCCTCGATGACCTCCTGGTACACCTCCTCCACGGCCATGCTGACAGCCTCCTGCTCGATGCCTCGCAGGAACCGCCCCGAGTTCACCATGTCCAGGAACTGCCAGACCGTCAGCCCCCCCTGCCCCTGCGGCTCCTGGGAGAGGTACTCATCCAGTTCGCAGGAGTTGAGCTCCACGTTCATGGCCGTGCAGATCTTCTTCAGCAGGTACTCCACCTGTAGGGATGGGGAACTCAGCGACGGGGAGAAGTGAGAGCCATCCCCACCCCACCAACTCATTTTGCAGAGCCCAAGACCACATCTCTTTCTAGCCTGGAGATGCAGGACCCTTATTCCAGAGGTACCACCCTTTGCGATGGTTGACGTTCACGGCCAAGCTGTTCCAGGCAGCAGGCAGGCTCAGGAGGTTGACGTTGGGTTAGAGCTTGACCATTACTGGGAGGTTTTTCCTTTTAACCACAAAGCTATTTGGGGCTTGTTTCTCTGCAGAGTGAGACAACTCTGCAGAAGTCAAGCGCCTGAGAAAGAACAGCCCAACGCTGCTGTCTCCCAGACCAGTCCACAAGGCAGGTGTCTCAGACCACAGCCTTGACCTCAGCACTGCTCCGGTTTCCAGCTGACGCCGTAAAAACACTGGGGAGGAGCAGGGGGAGAGATCCCTACGGAGGAGGTGAGTGCCGTTTTGAAACTGGAAATAAACTGCTTTGACAAAAGAGCTAAAACGGTTGACGGGATGTTGGGAAGACTTATTTCAGCTCAAGTTTTGCTGCCAACTCTCCTCTACCCACCATCTGGTGACCAAGGAAGGTGGGTGACTGCGGAGAGGCACACAGGTGAAACACAGCAGAGTCCCCGTGCCCAGCAGGGTTTTTTTTTTTACATCATCTAAGAGAAGTGCAAGAAAGCTTATTTTTTGAGAATTTTTAAATCATTTGATTATATTTTATATATTATGTGATTATATATATTAGCTATACAATCAAATATTTTTATATATTATATAATTTTTACATTTTAAATTCTTTTTGACAGCTTAATTTTTAAAAAACACCTCCCCGGTGGGGCCGGGATGATGCCGCGCTGCCGCCCCGCGCAGCGCTCCCGCGGCCCCTCCATCCCTCCTCCCGGTCCCTCGCCCGGGCATTTCTTTTGACTATTCTGCTGATCTCAGGAGGTTGATGATGGTATCGAAGCAGACAGCAGCTGCTTGCCCAGCTGAGCTCCTCGAGCTCCTCCTGGTGAGGCCGCTCTTGGCTTCTGAGCTTGTCCCTCCCCCCCAGATCTACCCACCTTCTCGTGGGGGTTTGAGCTGACCCCCAGGAGAAGGGAGAACCTCCTCCCCCAAATGCCGGCTGGAATTTGGAGATTTAGAGATTACTACCAGAAGCTTTGCTGTGCCCAGTACCTTGCTCTTAACTCTCCAGATGCTGGGCAGGGGGTGAGTGCCTGGTGGCAGCGGGCACGGAGAGGGACAACTGGGTCTGCTCCGCCACTGCCTTCGTGGTGGCACAGGCTGTCAAACAGCCGAGGAGATGCAGCCCCAGCCGGCCTGACAACGATTTCACGGGAAGCAATCTCCCATTGCACCAGATTTTAAGGGTTTCTCATCATCTTCTCTTTCTCCCTCATGAAAATCTGGAGTCCTCCTCCAACACCACGCTCCACTCAACCCTTGGGTGAGATGCAAGGGCTTTAGGCAAGGGACCAGCCACAGGAGGAGCTGCGCCAGGAGATGCAGCCCCAGCCGGCCTGACAACGATTTCACGGGAAGCAATCTCCCATTGCACCAGATTTTAAGGGTTTCTCATCATCTTCTCTTTCTCCCTCATGAAAATCTGGAGTCCTCCTCCAACACCACGCTCCACTCAACCCTTGGGTGAGATGCAAGGGCTTTAGGCAAGGGACCAGCCACAGGAGGAGCTGCGCTGCTGATGCTCCTTGCCTGGGGCTCTGAGAACTGGCACATTCATTTCACAGCAGGCAAAAGAGCTCGCTGGTGTAGGCTTGTACCATGGAAGACCAATAAGGACCAGCCCACACTTCATCCTCCAAGACATCTATATTTAAGAGGCTTCAGCATTTTGGAGGGTTCCCCCCGGCTGCTCCCAAGTCACCCCCTTCTCCCTGGGCATAGCGGGGGATGTCCAGGGCAGACAGCCCCCTCTTCCCACCCCTGGCCTGTTCTCTCTCACACCCTGGAGCACCGTATCTTGCAGGATGTGGTGGGACATGCTAGGAAGCGATAGCGGGATGTGTCATCCCCAAACCGGGCTCAGGCAGCACACAGAGCTCTGGGAGGATGAGGATGGGGTGAGGGGAGAGGCAGGTCCTACCTCATCTGGTACCATGACGAGAGGGTATTTATCTTCAGACAGAAAGTTGAAGAGACACCAGAGCTTGAAGGCATCTTGGTGGGATATAACGCTATTCCCATTCCGGTCGGGCTTGTAATTCTTCTTCGCCGTCAGGGTCCAGCAGAGTTCATCAAAGTTTTCTTTGACAAAAGCACCTTCCTCCACCTGCGGGCAGGAGCCGGTGGGTGAGCGTGGTGCTGTGGGGTTACGGAGGGGGTTTCTGGGGGGCAGGCGCTGTAGGGAAGACACGCTTGCACCTAAAATCTCCTGTCCCTGCCCGTGAGAAGCACAGGGTGATTGATATGTGGGACCCACACCTAGAGTGTAAGTGGGCACTGACCCATGACGCCAGAGTACGTTCCACCAGCACAGGTCCCTTACGCAGGCGAGCAAGGCGTCCCGGCCGGTAGAGAAGATGCTATGGGACCACAACACGGCCACAGTGGCTCAGCCATGTCCTGCCGGGCTGTGGAGCACCAGCAGGAACCCTGTGGTGAAGCACACGCAGCAGTGTGTGGTGCTCTCCCAAGCCCACCTCCCCTGTGCCTCCACGGCTTTGGTACACTCGTTGTCCCATTTGACCATAAAGAGGAACCGGGGCTCAGTGGAGGGAAGTGGCGGCTCACGGGTAGGCAGCGGTGGAGGCAGGAATGGTGCCTCCATCAACCTCGGCCCCGCTGCCTGTCCACGAGCTTCTGCGACCGCCTGCCTGGCACTGTGAGCTCCTTCCCGCGGCGGTTTTGGTGCAGCGTGGGACCAGAGGAACCTGGCCACATCTGGCCGCTCCATCCCAGCTGTGCGAGCCACACGCTGCCAGCACGAGGGCAAACCGCAGCTGGAGAAAAACCTATGGGTGGCAGAAAGCTGAAAGCCCCTCTTACTAGGAAAACCCACTTCCCCTTCTGAAGCTCTGGGATTTTATTAGCAGTGGCGAAACCAGAAGAAGGGGGTTTAAAGGTCATCTCCCAAAGAACCACGTGGGAACTGGAAGGATTTTGGCCGCTCAGTGATAGGGACGTTGGGCTGGCTGACCGTGGGCAGAGGGAGCTGGGGAAGGTTCTGCCCTCGCTGGCCACAGACCAGGTCCCTGCAGCTGAGATCAGCATCCCTGGACCAGTTCAGGGCAAGGCAAGGACCGGCACGGAGACCGGCACGGCTCAGCCCCGGGGAAGCAGCCGGGGAGGGAAGGGTTACTGCACCCAGCTCTGGGCGCCCCCCACCCCCCTACTTCTTTCGAGCACACAGTGGAAGAAAGTTGTCAGTCATTTTTCCTCTCCCCACATGCCTGGAGGAAACGAGTCCCCAGCCGCAAAGTCTCGCTGCGCCAAACAAAGGTGCCTTTGAGCCACACAGAAAAAAAGGGAGAAAGCCACTGCCCACTCCAACCTTTGCTCCTGCCCCGGCACCTCGTCCTCCTCCCTCTCCTCCTCTTCGCCGAATGAGGTCCCATCTTAAATTTGAACAGGGGTGGAGAGGAAAACGGGGCTGATTTCTCTCTCTGAGCCCTTTAGGAAACGTGGGCAGAGATACACCTCCATCCAGAGCCTTGATGGAAAGGGCTGACTTCACCTTTGCCGAGGAGACGCTGAGTGTTAAACGTTTCTCACTCATTCACCCGAGTGCTCCCCAACTCTCTGCGTCCTTTTTCCACCCACGGGATCTCCAGAGCTGTGGGGCTGCCACGGGATACGGGAGCAGACCAGGGACCGTGGTGTCCCCACCTGAGACGCAGCAGGTCGGGGCAGGGGACAGGGAGGATGGCCAAGGAGCTCACCTTATCCAAGATGTACTTGTTGAGGTATGGCATGTAGCCCTGGCTGGACACCGGCCCGTCATCGTCATCGCGGAAATGCTCTTCCAGCGCCACGGGGTCGTGGGGGATGCACAGCACCGTGTACAGGTTGTGAGACAGCACCTAGGGGGGGGAAACGAGGAGAAGGTGAACAACCTCCAACCCTGCCCCAGCCCATCCCCGCGGTGCCACGCGCCCACCCGGGGACCGTGCCCGGCTCCGCATCTCCTCCCCACAGCACCCAGGCGGGAGTTGGGTTTGGCAGAGGGACAGGGGAATATTCCCAAATGTAAACCTTGGAGAATCATTTAGAAACAGGCAAAATTTGAGGACTTTTCCACATTCGTTTCTCTTCTTTCTTGGCACATGGGGAAGTTTGGTGGTTTTTTTTTTTCTGTTTTAAAAGGGCTGTTTCAAACCTTACAGAGCAAACAGGACATGCTTTGATCTAGAGAGGATGATAAGCCACCCCAAGCCGCGCTGTTTGGCAGCTGCCCTCAGCGATTTCTTGAAAACGTAACTGGCCACAGCGCCCAGCCCGGCAGCCGTTCCCTGCTGCCAGTGGGGCATGGGAAGACGCAAAGATGAAAATAAGAAAAGATTTATAAGAAACTAAGAAAAGGTTTTGCCTGGGATGGAAGTAGACACGGGGGATCTGGAGGCACAGCATCTGCAGACACAGGCTGCGAACGTCACCAACCAGCCCACTTTTGTTCAAATCCCCCAAAACAAAGCATGTTTTGAAGCTCTCGAATGTCCCACGTGCTGGAAAACGCACGCCGCAGCCCGGCCAGTCGCCAAAGCCCAGAGCAAGGCTGGCCATGAGCACCACCAGCATCTCCGCACCACAACTGTGGACCAGTGGTTGTCTCCTCGTCTTTACCTCCCAGCGAGCAGGAGATGGTTAAAAGCGCATCCCAAAATGATGCCGCCCCATCACCAGGGTTGGCAAAAACAGCTTGTAGGGTTTGCAGATGCAGCTCGCCAAGGTTTGAAGAGAGGGGGCTGGAGGAGATGGCGTGCAGCATCCCTGCTCCTGCTCCTCTCTGTGTAGGGCTGGAATTTTCCTCCCAGCAGGAGAGGTGCCACCGGAGGCCATGCTGGCTGCTGCAGCTGGAGACGGTTCTTGCTCAACCAGATTTTCCTTCTCCTTTTCACCCTCTGGACTGATGTTATCAGCAGGACTCCACCCCGCGCTGTAGCCCTGAGCACTGGTGCGCCTTTTTTCAGGGTTCAGTGCAGCTCCGGGGTCTGCAGAAGGGTGGGGAGTGATGGAAACACCCTGGGCATCCTCTGGGAGGGCTAACGAATCCATCAGGATGAATTGAAAGTTTGGGAATCACATCCCATTCCCCGTTTCCAATGTGGGGCCTCGTTCCCATCCCTTGCACCTCCTCTCACAGCACCCCAAAAACCTCTGGGAGGTCTCGAGCCCCTCCGTCCGCCCCGGCACGCTGCGAACCACAGTCCCTCAGCTCGCCGGGGCGGTCACCTCCAAAATGAAAGTGGGGCAGAGTGGGGAGGAAAGCACCGGCCAGGCTGATGTGGGGTGTGTGGGGCCGGGGCTGCCCCAAGCCCGGGGAGAGAGGAGAGGTGGGAAACCCCCTCTGCGGGCTCTGAAATGAGGGATAGGAGGGGAAAATAATGGCGGGGGGGAAAGGGAAGGGATGCT